CGCCCCGCACCTGGAGTCCCCGCGCCGGCCACCGCTCGGGCGCCCGGGAGGCGCTCGCACCGCCGCCTCGCACCTCCAGCCCCCCCTTACTGCCCGGGGAGAGGGGCCCCAGTTCCGATTCCAACTCTGCTGCTGGGTGAACTTAGTCTCGGGCCCGCTGAGCCATACTCTCTGCCTGGCATTTTGATGATAATCACACATTTAGTGCGTCCTCACTTCGTGCCAGGCAGGCATCGCTGGAGGGCGTGCCTTCCTCGTCTTCGGCAGCCCCTGACGCCGCGCTGAAAAGAGGAGCTGCCTGGTTTCTTCATACACAGGAGGAAACTGAGGGCCAGAGGCCTCCAGGAGCCACAACTGTGGTAATGGCTGCGGTGCCAATAACAAGGGCCCTTCCCGCCAGGGCAGGCAGGCTGCCTCCAGAGCCCTAGATAGACCAGGGCGGGGAAACTGAGGCTGAGAACAGTTACCCAGGGCCACACCGCCTTAGCAGGGCTAAAATTCTGGAGAGGGTGATATTATGTCCCCTCCCCCCAGCAATTAATTCACTGGGTGTCAGCAAGTTTCCTCTTTCTGCAGAAGTTTGGAGAAGGGGGTCAGTAAGCCAGCCCACTGCCTCCACATTTGGAAACCAGGAAAACTGATCAGGGAGACCAGCTTCAAAGGAGAGAGACATCATCAATTAATTAGCTGGACTCCCTCCTCTTATGACACCCTGCAAGCTCTCCAAACTCCGGAGGCTGGTTTTGCAATCCTCTAGTGATTGGAGAGAACGTTATGCTGAGCAGAAGAATTGCCAAAGATTTGAAATGACAATGACCAAACAGAGGAAATTGAAATATTAATTTACTATTGAGTGTTTATTAATTGACCTAGCAATTCTTGCTGGTATCAATTCCAGAGACACCTACACACAGGAGCACAAAGATGCCTGCCCAACCCTGGCTGGTGTGGCTCAGTTGGCTGGGAATCATCCCGGGCACCAGGAGGTTGCCGGTTCAGTTCTGCTCAAGGGCACATGGCTGGGCGGTGGGCTCAATCCCCGCCCGATAGGGGGCATGCAGGAGGCAGCAGATCCATGTTGCTCTCTCACATCCATGTTTCTCTCTCTCTCCCTCTCTCTCTCAAAATCAATAAACTATTAAAAAAGAGAGAAACAGAATGAGACAATTTTTAAAAATAAAAATAAAAAGATGTTTGCTCAGGAATGTTCACTGAGGTGCTATTTACAAGAGGGGAAGCTGAAATAACCCACATGTCCTTCAACAGTGGCACTGTATACAGGATGAAGGAACACCAGTGCTGCGGACTGGCCGCGCAGCAGGGGAAGGCTGGCTCTGAGAGATGTCTAGGTCCTGCTGTTGGAGAAAGCAAGTGCTAGACTGGGGGGTAAGGTAGGACCTCTTGTAAAGAAGCAAACATACTGCCCTAAGTGCATGCGTATCTGGAAATGAATTTAAAACAAGAGGAAACTGTACTGTGGAAAATTTTCAAACAAAATAGTGTGTGACTTCTCTCAGATGAAGTTCTAAAACTCACAGCTAGTGTACGATCGATAAAAGAAATCAGAATGGTGGTTGCCTCTGGGAGTGGAGGGTGGGAGCTGCCGGGGAAGGGGTGTGAGAGGACTTTCTGGAGTGATGGAAATGTTCCATGTCATAACGAGGTGTGGATTACACAGTGTAAGAATTAGTCAAAACACATTGAGTTATATAGTTTTGTGCATTTCACTGTATTTAAATTGCACCTCAATAAAAATATTAGAAAGAAGAAAGAAAAGATAAACACCAAATTACTAATGTTACCACTGTGAAGAGGAGAGGGGAAGGAGAACACTGTGAAATTAGAATTTCACTTTTATCTTCATATAGGTATCAGATTTTTGTTTTTTTTTAAGTAGTGTTATTGAAGTATAATTGACAAACACAAACTGTATATATTTAAGGTATACAACTCCAGAAATATACATATCCATGAACCATTGCCACAATCAAGAAAATTAACATATAGTCATCAACCCTAGAAGTTTTCTTCTGCCCTTTGTAATTCCTCCCTGCTCTTCTACCCAGAGCCCAAGTGACCTTTTATCTGTTTTTTTCTATAGTTTGCATGTTCTAGAATTTTATATAAATGAAGTGCAGTATATACACACAGTATATACATATATAATGTATATACAGCACATGCTATTTTTTTTTAATCCTTACCTGAGGATATTTTTTCCATTGCTTTTCAGGGACAGTGGAAGGAAGGGAGAGAGCGAGAGAGAGAAACACTGATGTGAGAGAGACACACTGATTGGTTGCCCGCCTCTGGATCAGGGCCGCCAGGGATCGAGCCTGCAACCGAGGTACATGCCCTTGGCCAGAATCCAACCCGGGGCCCTTCAGTCTGCGGGCCGAGGCTCTCGCAAACCGGCTAGGGCAGTACATACTCTTTATTGAAGTTTTTTCAGCCTAGTTTCTTTAACTCAGCACAATTATTTTGAGATTCACCCATGTTCATTCCTTTTTATTGCTTAGTAGTAGTATATGGATACACAATTTGTTTAGTCTTTACCTTGAGAGACATCTGGGTTATTTATAGTTTTTCCTTAGTACAAATAAAGCTACTTT